GCTACAAATTGCTAATCTAGTTTGCTTGGCCTAACTAAGACTTGTGTATCTGTACATTCTTTCACCGTATAGTTTTGCTGCTCTAAATCAGCAATCTTTAATCTGAATGACAAAAAACTGTACACCTTTACTCTTAGTTGAAGGGTTATTTAACAAAACTCAAAAAAAGTCACGTGAGCTATCGGTCTAAAATGTTTATTACAGCTTCAACTATTGTTTGTTAACTTCAAGTTAAGCACAAAGCTCCACAATGGGCTATCTGTGCTCTGCCTACCACGGGTATCGAAACCAGATTTCTAGTGTTATAAGTCCACAGACTTACCGCTGTGCCACTGGCAATTTGCACATATGGCATATATTTAGACCAAATTTGACAGCTTGTTGTAGGTTGTAAAGATCTATCACTGTACTAAATCCATGAAAGTTAATTATGTTTTCTATTAAATAAAGTTTCCGTACTTTTGGTGCGAAAAAAAGGGAACAAAATCAATTAAAATTGATGTTTTATATCTCCTGTATTTCTTAATGGATTGCCTTCAAATTTGGTATGTGAAGTAAGGGTTCAGTAGAGCACATCCACTAAAAATATGTGATAGCTTGGCTTACCACAGTCCGAGCTACAGAAAGTGGAAAATTGCTAAACTATCACTCTTGTTAATAACACACAGTGCGTCCTGCATTTTGTTGTAGCCGCACGACACACTATTGTGTGTCTTATTTTGTTTCTAGTAGTCTTATGAGTCGTTACCAGGCAATTAAAACAAATGAACTGACAGAGAAAGCTGATTTATTTCGTTGTTTTGTTGTTGTTGATCATAGAGCTACACAATGGGCAATCTGTGTTCTGCCAACGCAGGTATCTAAACTCAATATTTCGCTTAATAAGCTTACAGACTTACCTCTGAACCATCAGGGGGAGGGTCGAAGTCGAATTCCAATATATAGCTTTTATAGTTGTAAGAAGACAAACATACAATACACCCTATCTTTGCAATAAAACAATGGATATATATCAGTTCTAAACCATTTCTGAAAAGTTTTAGTTTCTGTAATGTTACCGATCTTTCAAGAAATTGAATATTTATGAAGAACCATCCCTTTCTTTTTCTCTTACAAATGTACTCATGTTTAAATGTTATTGGTAATTCTAAGTTTAATTTATATGTTAAAATTTCAAATTTCAAATTTGTTTTGTTCTTTCACTGAACTCTAAATTTTGTGCCTTTTGTTTCTGACAATTTACAGAACTATCAGAATTATTGAAATAATACAAAAAGGTATTAAACATGCACATATAAAGGAGTGTTTTGTCCAAGAATCTGGGAAGTTTTAATGCCCACTCTAAAAAGTATTAAATAAAACTTTATTTTTAGTCTAGAATATTCTACTCGTATATCTAGATGTTGACAGACAATATTATATATCATTATAGCAATAGCAGTGATTAGGACTTCAAAACTGGTTTCAATCAGGGTTGGGGTATTAATAAGTTTTTGCAATATATTTTAATAACATATTTTATATGATATTACAGTATATTGTACAGAGGTGTATTTGAGGGTATATCTGGTTTCATTTTCTAATGAAGCCGTTAATCAATTAGTGTTAGAATTTGTATATGTTTTAATATTTATATATTGAAATATACATAACTTGCTTATGCTTATTATGGAATTATATCACTTTAAACATACATTGCAATAAACTTAAAATATTCGTTAACATCCTATCTTCTTCAAAGCTAAATAGACATTTCCTGCTGATTTTTTAAATATTTATAATAGTATAAAAGCCAGTCAAAAATGACGAGAAACTAAAGCCTGCCAAATTGAAACCCTCCAATATGCATTTGTAACTCTCTGCCCATAAACAGACATAAGAAAAATAAATGGCCTTCTAGCTTTGGAAACCAAAGCCTATCATGAGGAATATCTACTTTACCTAAAGAGTGTCTCTTCTCACCATCGATCCTTGTCTCAGCATTCACTGATCACACTTATTTTCTTATCGCGTCAATTGCATTATTGCAATAGTTCTCTTAAAGCTATATTTCTCGTAAATAATCGATCATCGTTCAAAAACTTCCCTTCGTAACAAACGGCAAATTAATTTCACTCGTTGCTAAATAAATCCTTGATATAAAAACTCCCTTCTTGACAGGCTTTTACAAACCAGAAAAAGTGCCGACATTTAGGAGCTACTTACGCATATTTTAGCGATTGAATTCCACTAAAATGGGAACGGGCAATCAAAAGAAGAAGTATTGAAGGAGAAAAAGTGGAGTTGGACTCGTGTAACTCACGAAATTCGGAGAAATCGGACGTGACCGACCGAAAATTGGCTTTTATGATTATAATGATTCATCATATTTGCTTCACTTACCGCCAGATGGCACAAAATCCTTTATTAGCTGGTGTGTTTGGTACGATCCTGAAATTACTCTATTTAGCACCCTGATATCATTCATTCACTTGTAATAGTGACTTGTAGATTCATCATTGTATCTGAAAAGGCTGAGAAATTGAAATATTATGCGAAAATTATACAGTGAACGTTACAACTTATGGCATTCTCTATATTTAGAAGTTAGTTGAAACATAGATGTAGACCAATGGAGGTATTATACAATTAGACAGAGAAAGAATGAAATAAGAACTCGATTACAGCACCAGTTCATTATAAGTATAGATTACTCCTATTGAAAAAAATTGTTCTTGTTAGATTTCACTGGCACCTGGTGTCAACATTTTTGTTTAATATGACAGTAATTCAGATATAATTCTGAAGAGAGACTATGAACTGTACAAAAAAGGCTTACCATTGCTTTAGTATATCTGTAGTATATTTAGATGAAAGAAAATTAAATGCGGGGATATTGTTCTGACATAATGAAAAAAAAGTAATGTATACAACATTAAGTTAAAGGTCCCCTGGTGAATTGAGGCGACTTTAAAGATTTACAACACTAAAATCCGGAGTTCGATTCCCGCGGGGGATGGAATGCAGAAACCCCATTGTGTACCTAAGCAGTAAAGCAAACAAACAAACAAAATCAAGTTAAAGGCTATGTAGCATTTGATGAATTCGCGTTCACCAGCCATAATGATGAGAAACGCTAAGAGACGGAGCTGATCAAAGATAAACTAGGGATAATAGATAACAAAAATATTTGGACGTTATCGCGCCCTTCTTTATGACCATGGTGTATTTTTGCTTCTTAGTTCAGACACGTAAAGTTATTTACCACAGCAGATACACCAATATGTGAAAGAATTTGAAGTGTCAATGTTTATAAATTAGGTTGTAATCTTTTAGACGGATTTTTATGAGACTATACATGTCATGGACTATCGCCTTTTTAACCTTTCCAATCTGAAGCGTTTCTGAAGGAGCCTTTTTAACCTTTCCAATCTGAAGCGTTTCTGAAGGAAATGGCATGTATAGTCTCACCAAAAAACACTGAAAAAAAAGATAGTCTTTATTTTCAGGGGTTTTGGGGGGAAATTATACATGCCAACTCCTTCAGAAATGCTTCAGATTGTTAAAGTTAAAAATGTGATAATCTTTTTTTTTTCAGGGGCTTTTGGTGTGACTATACATGCCATTTTCTTCAGATTGGCAAAGTTAAAAAAGGTGGTAGTCTTTTCTTTCAGGTTTTTTTTTGGTGAAACTATACATGCCATTTCCTTCAGAAATGCTTCAGATTGGCAAAGTTAAAAAGGTGAAAGTATTTTTTTTTCAGGGGTTTGTGGTGAGAACATATATTCCATTTTCTTAAAGGCAATATTCTATGGTTTATGATTAAACGGCTTCACATCTGGGCTATGCTAACTGTGGAGGTTGCCTGGACACCCATTGAATCACAAAAACATATTCAATAAGGGGCGGATGAGCTCCTAGAGAGTCAGATGTGGAAGGGACCTCACAAAGCCTATGAGTCACATCGTGAGAAAAAATGGGACTAGCCTGGAGAAAAAAACAATAACCACCATGGAAAGATCAGTTGAGGAAGGCAGAAAAGATCAGTGGTGGAAATAATTAGACAACTGGTAATGTCGATGATGGAAGATGTAATATCAGTGTACCAGAACAGGTAGAGACGACTATTGGTGAGAACCACAATTCCGACAGGAATTATGTGACATATATATCTACCCTCGTTAGATTCTTAGTTAATATCTGCAATTGTAACAGAGAGTGCTACAATTTTAATGATTCAACCAGCCAATATTTTAACATAATAACATATTATTACAAGTACTTTTCCCAACATTTAATAATAGAAATAACATGTTTTGTTACATTTGCTTGTTTAACGGGATCTTTTAGATATGATTTATGCAAAATTTTGACTATTATTATGACGTTTGATAGCATATTCAGAACCAGAGCTACACGTTACTATGAGTAGATGTTATGGCAACTGCTCAGAAAAACTGCTGTCTTTGCTAAATATAACAGTTCACACCAGAAATGAAAAAACTAAATACTCCATCTGTTGGTATATTCCGAAGGCAACCGTTACTTTAGTCTTGCCCTAATCAGGCGCTATTTTACACTGTTAAGAAGAAAATTATAAAAACGGCTATGTCCATAAATTCAGTTTAAAATGTGTCTTTAAAACAGAATCTAGGTTAAAAGGGCTTTTCAAAATTTGGAGACCAACAACGTCCATTGAATATCTCGTTAGTGGTTTACGAGTTCATTTGCCCGCGCCCCCCAGTGGCCCGAAGTGCAACTAAGGAGATACTAGGTCACCTACTTTATTACCAACCACTGTCTAAACGAATGTGGCGTTGTGTCTACCTCGAGTTTATTCTGCACCATTCTCCAGTTAAAATGATCTTTCATCAGCTATACAGATTCAATACCTCAAGCCCCCTTAAATCATTATATTGAATATTATTTTGTATTTTATTCTTATTTAATTAATTAATAAATTGCATTGTAAGGTTACCAAGTGTTGTACCAATTGTATAGCTCATTGTATAGGTTTTCCCTAACAAAACAACATAATACTTATTTTCAGTTTATTGCCGTTTTATAAATATATTTTCAAACGTGTTGCCCCCCCACTCTCACTAACAGATCTGAAATTTGATTTTTACACACTTCTGATTTTGAATCGGAAAAGGAAAATTAAGAGGAATGATGAAAAAAAACACACACCTCTAACTTACGTAATTTATATCATACATTTTAAGCTTACTGCTTTCTAATTACTTCGCCAGCTTTCGCCACTATGTGCTATTTATTTTTTGCATTTTGTTCGCATGGTTGTTTGACAAATTTAATTAAATAAGAAACTTATTTCACTTTGAGTTATTGAACACACGTACAATTCTTGCTTCTTTTTACATTGATAGAAAATGATATAATAATACTTCAGAATTTAAGTGTGATAAAAAGTTCAAGCAAACGCTAATGTTAAATAATACTAGATTTTCTATTTACATATTTTCCTGTCCCAATAAAGATAATCCATCTATTCCCGCTAAAAAAAAAAAACTGGCCCGGCATGGCCAGGTGGTTAGGACGCTC